GAAAGTTTAGTTACTTAAAGCCCCTACTCGTGCCTAGTCGCACGTGGCAGCACCTTATAGTTAATTTTATTATAGGCCTTCCTAACTCTTTTAAAAACATAAACTTAATAGTAGTAAAGAACTAATTAGGGAAAGGCGTTGTACTAGTTCCTATAAAAAAGATTAAGATAATAGACGTTGCTTAGGCTTTCGTACGAGAAGTCTACCGCCACTACAGCCTTCTATAGTCTATCACGTCTAACTGTAGCCCCTAGTTCGCAAGCTAACTATAGGAAAACATCTGCAAGCTGCTAAATATTTAGCAGAATCTCTCTATAGCTTACTACCTATAAATAGACAAGACAATAGAATAAGCTAATAGCGACATAGAAGTAGTTGTATAGATCTTTTGCAACTATAACTAAGATAATTAGGCTTAGCTTTGCCCTCTTCTAAAACTTATGCTTAACTCCTATACAAACGCCTCTATAAGTGTATCCCCCTTCTTTCTCTACTATAGTTACTATAATACCTTATTTCCCTAAAAAGAAGCTATCTTAGATAACTAAGAAGCAAGCGTAGCAGCTAAAGAGATAGTACGTACGATTAGTGATGTAGCAAACTAGGCAGTTTTAGTAATGTTATACGCCTAACAAGAGCAAGAGAAGTAGGCGAATAAATCTCGCAAACTATTGCCTGCTTATAAAGTAGGAGACTAGGTCTAGCTAGACTTACGCAATATATAAATAGCCTAAATAAGTAAAAAGCTAGACTAGAAAAGTAGAAAGTACTAAGTCGCCTGCGTATAGGACTTCTACTAGGTAGAACTTGTGGTGCCTTAGGAGACAGAATCCTTCCACGTAGACAAGCTAAGGCTAGCATCTAACAACCCCTTGCTATTATAATAAATAGACAATAGCAGCCCTACAGCTATTATTGTACGAGAAGATAGAGAAGAAGAAGAAGACTATTTAGAATAGCTTATATAAGGCATCACAGACGAATAAATACAAAATAGAGAACTACAATATCTTGTTATTTAGATAGGCTACCTAGAGGGAAGTTAGGAACTAGCTATAGCACTTAAAGACACAAAAGCCCTAGATAAATGGCTCGCCTAAACTTCCTCTGTACGAAAACCTAACGGCTGGCTACAAAATAGCTAGAGGCGAAAGCTACTTAATAAGCAACGTCGAAGATCTAAGCAGTTGCCTGCTTAATGGTGTTGTTAACTCCACCGTTCGTGCAGAAACGCAAGGCGTTAACCTAGCTGTTAGCCTATATTCTATGATTAGCTATTATACAAAAAGACTTAAGAAAGTAACTATAATAAGAGAAAAGTTAAAGCTAAAGGGATATAGGAAACAAGTTCTCTTACGTGGGCCTTTATAAGCACATTCTTATATAGCATCTCTTTAGCCTCTTTAATAAGCTTTAAGAAGCCTTCTTATATAGTAGTTAGCAATTGTATAAAAGACTCTCTTATAAGCTTTAATTATAACCTAAATTTATATAAATTACTTAGTATTTTGAATATTTAGAGTATTTCTAGCTAAGCTTCTCATAGTAGAGTATAAAGGCGTATGTTAAAGCAATTAATAACTCTCTACGCGTTAATAGATGTTATGGGCGAGAGAGGCCTAACTAACGAGTATGCATTCACCTATTGTATAGAAGAAGAAAGATATAGAAAAGAACTATCTAGAGGGCCCTCCTTTTATAGTTGTTACTTGTATAAACGCTTAGACCTTTAGTCTTCCTTTTTACTTAAGCTTATTTATATGTAGCTAACTACGTTATTTAGTTATATAACTAAAGTTATGTAATTTACTACTATATAACCTATAGGTTATACCTCTCTAGCGTAGCCCTTTATAATACTCCCCTCCTTTACCTTGTCTAATATCACGTGCGTATTCTTTAGTCTTCTTTTCCTTTCTCTTTATCTGTTTGCTATTATATATTTGGCGTCTTGTATAGTTAAGGTAAAGGTAAATAGTAAAGGTAAGAGAGAGTTAAGCAACAGTGCTATATAGCAAACGCTGTCTAGCGAGCATAAATACTCTTCTTCCCCTACCTACTGCTTAAAGAGCAATTAGTAGTAGTAACAAAGCGCCAAGGGCGCAAAAGAAAGCAAATTTAGACAGGTAGGACACTAGACTTTAGTGCAGGGGCATCGCAGGTAGCTAAAAGTAGTTCTGCTAGTCGTACGACATCAAAGAAGGCACGTAGTAAGGGTAGTTAAGAAAGGGCCCTACTAGGTTAACAGCACTATAGAACCTATAAGAGGATAGGCTATAACTCTCGTACGTGCTAGAAAGATGTAGAAAAAGATTCTCTTTTAGATACAAGTAAGTTGTATAAAGCATCTATAGTGTAACGGGCTAGGTAGCCCGCTACAGTACAGATAGCGGTGGCTATCTTATGTATCAACTACGCAACGATATCAGCAGCTCTGATATCTTGTGCCAGCCTTTTTGGCGCGGTGGGCGCGTTGTAGTTGCGTGCGCAGTCTAATAGGACTCGACCCGTTACATATAGCTAGTATAGAGTAATCTAAGTTTTTGTACATAAAGTTCGTGATGCTAAGAAAAAGTGGCACACTTGGTGATGTGGCCTACTTGGTGATGGAATACGTTATATATACATGTGTGAATAGCAGGCATGTGCTTGGACCAAGCTTCTTACCGAGGTTGTATTGTATACTTGTGCATGTAGGTGTACGGGTGGTGTTTGTATCTATTCCTTTTCTCTTTTTTTTTCTTTTTTTTAGCTAGAGAGAAAGAGACGGAAGCGAAGAAAAAAGAAAAAAAAGATAGACAGGGAAGGGGGGAAGAGACAAGGAAAAAAGAAGCTACTTAGTGGCTGTGAATGATGCGAAAGAAAGCAAAAATAAGCACGCTGGTTTGTATACACGCGTATATGCACCGACACCGACACCAATAAACAAACTACTTGCGGTGAATATATCTTCCGTGTGTTGCGCGCTTTTTTACTTATGCATTTTCCTTTGCTAATCTTGCATTACTTATCTATCGCACCGCATCACTACAAAGCTAAGCCAAGCCAAGCTAAGCCGTAAAAGGTTCGTTTTACCCTACTTATCTACAACTATACGAATCCACTATGTTGCCCTATGCAGTAGTAAAATCCTCAGAGGAGATTGCATGTATCACAAGTCGTAGTGTTTGGGCATATACACGTCAATGTATGTAGGGCGGACAGGTCACGGGGAGCAATTCTGTGATATGCTCGGTAGGTGGAGAGTGGGATACTGTAGGGTGAAAGCAAAAGTTTTTTTTTGCATTTCCCAAGACGTACTCGCAGCATGCGCTAACCAGACGTTGGTGCGAGTACGTAGATAGACTATCATGTCGTAGCAGTCGTCCTACACATATATCTGCGGCTTTTAGAGCCCCCTCCTCCTCAGCACGCATCTGCACCCCCCCCCCCCTAGATTGTTGTTTCAATTTCAATGGTCGCACGACTGTTCTGTCTGAGTGCAACCTACTCCAAGGCGTGCAAATTCCCCGTTACCCCATTTCTGGGGGCATTTCTTAACGGTAGGATTATGTTCGCAACAACTGGCATAGGTTGGGACACGCTCGCCGGTGATTTGAAAACGATAGACGCAGCTGAATGATGCTGTAGCTAGCGGGGCTAGTGCGAAGACGGTGAAGAGGAGCTGTGATAGCTGTATTGTTGTTGTTGTTGTTTTGGCGAAACGACTGTACACATGCAATGTTAGCTACATTGTTCTCTTTCTCATCTGGCAGGCGGCGGAGAAGCAGTAGCCGGGTCTACGTTGATGTACTCACCAAAGCCTACTGATGTAGTGTCTAACAGTACTTCTTGTCTAGAGGTATGTGTACGTGTGTTTATCCTAGCGTCCGAGAAACCGCTGTATTTGTGGAAAATGAAACGATGAACAAGAGCCAAGAAGATGAGCATTACATATGTAGCATGGAATTCCAAGAAGCTTTGACAAAACCTTACCGTAAGACCCAGTCATTTCCCCGCCTCCTCTCCAACGTAAGCATTACGGGTATATTGAAAGCTTGTTGAAATAATCAGCGCGTGTTCTGACCCCCCTCGTCAGTCCGGTACAACTTTGTGGTATAGAAGGAGTATTCGCATCAAGGGCGATTTGAAGAGACTAAACAAGCTGAGAAGAGTAATTTAGAGAGTTCTTAATACGGCTATGCTTAGGAAAAGCAATCGTTTGTATTCTCGATCAAGGCTAACTATCCACTTTGAACCTATGTAGATTGCCAGTCTACCTGGAAGTAGAAGATGAGGTCAGCTGGGCCCAAGCGCGCTGTCTGACCGCTGTTCGATGGAGTGTCGAGACGCAATGCACAATCCAACAGATAAGACAGCAACAGTTGGTGGGTATGATTGGAATACAATTAGTGTAACCTTTGGTCTCTGGCCCAAGTACATGTCCCTTCGCCGAGGCGCTATACCTCACCCGGCAAGCCATAACACTGATTATGTAAAGCCCAGGCACTAGATGTGATGACTTGGACCTGATCAGTTAAACCTGAATACTGTTCAAGAAGCATTCGAAGTGGATTCAGCCTGTCGAAGCCTCAGACACAAGGCCACCAGCCCATCACACATGCATCCCACAAGATCAAGAATCGTGCTATATATCCTTTACTTTTCTACTGCGAGTATGGATACAATAATAGAGCAGTAGTAACAATACTTGAATTTCACGAGACGAATCGCTAGTCAGCCACACTAGTAGTCAGAGGTACTTGTATACCACCTTCTAATACGAGCACGTGATTATATGCCAGGGTACTATGGTCGGACGTGGGACCTTGCATCTACTCAGTAACCTTACTTGGTCATACACTCTGCGATAAAAAAAAATTTCCTCAAAGCAGAGTAAGACACTTACAGTAAGTAGGAGTCTACATGTCTAATTTTGAACTAGTTGCTACCAGCAATATATACATAGCACGGGTCCTCCCATTCCCCACATGCTAAACCCCAAACAAAACGGGTATCCTCTAGGTTAAATACCATGCAGAACCCACTACTTCCTTTCCGATTTTCCCCAAAAACTGCTCCTCCTCCTCCTCCTCTTCTCCACAAACCCATCCCACTTTATCGCCAGTTTCCATGGGTGTATGAATTATTGGTGATCGCACTGTCGTTCACATTAGCCAAAACCAGCTACTTACTACATTCCCTAGCTCCAAATATCCACGAATGAAAGAAGAAGGGAAAAAAAGGGTTGATAAAGAAGAAGAAGACACTTACGCAGTAGAATTTTACGGCATCGCTCAAAGCCCTATCGAATCGACACCAGTTCTTCGGTGGACCGTACTTCATAACCGGATCATCAGCCGTGGGGAGACACTAAATCGCAGTAAGTATGAGCATGTAAATCCCCCCCAAAAAAACGAGGCTTAGCAGGGATCTTTTTTTTTGAGCATACCGCCATAGGCTGATTCAGAGGGTGTTCATCCGAGTCGCGTGGACAAGTGATGACGGTCGTGGGGACACAATGGCTAGCATGGACCATATTGAGTCCCGTGTAGGACAGCACGGCGAGGGCCGTGAGGAGATTAAAGTGCATTGTGGCGATGAGTTTCCGAGACGACGAGAGGGGATTCAAGCAATTGGTAATAAACAGACTCGGGCGTGCTCTAGGGTACAGAGTTAGGGGGAGGGGGTAAAGAGGAAAACTCATAGGCTTTTATATGCTACTGGAACAACTAGTTTTAGATCTAGTATTGAGCGCGCAAGGATGCAAAGATGGCTATAGCACTTGGATTCCCTCCTATAAGCACCGAAATAGGCTGCTTGCCAAGTACCTAGGATATAGAGGGGATACTGGTTTGTAGTGCTTATACAACGCGATCCAAAGCGCCTAAGATACATCACTAATAAGGCCGCCGTATTACTGCGTGACGTCAGTCTAGCAGTGCTTCGTAGTCGTGAAGTTAGCAACCATGCAATTCAGTCACGTGATGCTCACTATGGCGCCTCACCAGCGTCCGTACTCTGTGTTAATAGTTCATTTGGTGTATGAGTGAATTCAACGTGATGACGCAGTGGATCTCACAACGCAGTAGAGGACGCGTGAGAATTCAAAAGTATGAGTAAAAGCAGAATCCAATTAGGGTCTCAAAGGTAAAGCTCACATCACAAGATTATGAGAGAAAGTAGTGTCTGTTCCGCCGTAGCGGTTGTTTTATTACGAGTGATGGACGTTGTATCTGAGTGATTAACCCAAAGTAGAACGAGCTGGCTCGTATTTGGTTTTTCCCCTATTCCTCCTTGTTCCGAATAACCCCCGCCACGGCCCTATCGTCCACACACCACGTGCGGCATGTGCACAAAGGCCAGCGTGCGCGTTGACAACGCACTAAAGGGGCCCTAATGTTGAAGCTCTAGCATCTGAAACAGCCTGCCCCAGGCTGTGTCTGTATCTCTATATGAAAAGGAAACCTGCACCTAACTTTTTGAAAGAACAAACGGGCTGGTATCATTGGGTATAAAATGCCCTGGACGCCGTGAAACACTTGTTGAAAAGGCTCTTACCCGCCTCCCAAAGATATGCAAATCTTTCTCATGCGATGTCGTTCATCGTAAATCTTAAAGTCTTTATGGGTTGAAGTTGATTCAAACCCACTCTATGCGTCTAGCATCATGAAAATTAAAACTTGAGCTCCTTGGGCTTCTCCCAAGTAAAGCTCTGGTTGGTAAAGTGGCCGTTCTTAGCGGTTTGGAAGTAAATGGGGTCAATGAGGTTAAGCTCCTTGACAATGACACCGGGACGGAGGTCGAAGTTCTTGCGGACAATTTCCACAAGCTCGTCAGACGACTTGTCCGAGGTTCCGTATGTCTCGACGAACAGAGAGAGTGGCTCGGCAACACCAATGGCGTACGACAGCTGGACGAGCGCACGGCGGGCCAGCTTGGCGTTGACGAGCGACTTGGCGATCCAGCGCGCAAGGTAGGCCGCAGAGCGGTCGACCTTGGAGTAGTCCTTTCCGGAGAAAGCACCACCACCGTGGGCTCCCCAGCCACCGTAGGTGTCGACAATGATCTTACGCCCGGTAAGACCAGCGTCACCCTGGGGTCCACCGATGATGAAGAGACCAGAGGGTTGGATCTGCGGCAGGTCAGCATAGGTCAACAAGAGGACAGGCAGAGCAAGGACGTACGTGGTAGACGGTCTTGTCGTCGAGGAGGTTGGCGGGGATGACCTTCTTGATGATCTTCTCCTTGATCTCCTTGCGGAGCTCCTCGGTGGTGATAGCCTCGCTGTGCTGGGCAGAGACGACGACGGTGTCGACGCGGAGGGGGATGACGGCACCGCCGTCGTGGGCGTACTCAATGGTGACCTGTGTCTTAGTGTCGGGTCGCAGCCATGGGAGGGTACCGTCCTTGCGGGCAGTGGTCATGGCCGAGTTGAGCTTGTGGGAGAGGAGGACAGTCAGAGGGAGGAGCTCGGGGGTCTCGTCGGTGGCATAGCCGAACATGATACCCTGGTCACCGGCACCGAGCTTCTCAAGAGCCTCTTCGTAGTGCAGACCCTGAGCAATGTCGGGCGACTGCTGCTCAATGGCAACGAGGACGTTGCATGTCTTGTAGTCGAAGCCCTTGTCCGACGAGTCGTAGCCAATGTCCTTGATGGCATCGCGGATGATCTTCTGGTAGTCGAGGTGTGCCTTGGTGGTGATTTCACCAAAGACCATGATCATACCAGTCTTGGCCGCAGTCTCGCAGGCGACCTTGGAGAGGGGGTCCTCCTTGAGGCAAGCATCGAGGATGGCATCGGAGACCTGGTCACTAAAACTCCGGGTTAGCAGTGGTTCGGCGTCGAGACTCGGCGTCGAGATTCGGAGCGGAGTATTTAGTTGCAGGTGGGGGCCGACGGAGCTGCTATCTCGCGCCGGCTCTTTATCTCCCGCAAAAAAAGACCGCCCAAGAGACAAAGGGGACACGTATACATACCAGATCTTGTCGGGGTGGCCCTCGCCGACCGACTCGGAGGTGAAGAGAAAGGTGCTACCCTGATGATATGGTCAGGCCATTGCGGTGCGGGGACAATTGGGACTGTGGGGGGCGGGCATACCTTGGAGGATCCGTTGGGGACAGTCATATCTGCGGATTGTGCGGGGGGGTTGAGGGGGGGAGAAGGGAGGGGGGATAGTGTAGGACTTGCGACCGCGTGTGGTGACGGAAGAAAGACGAGGAGAGGGAGGAGGAGGTGAGTGAGTGATGAGGGAAGAGAGGGGGTCGAGGGGCACGGGTGGATTTATGCAGCAGCAGCGCTGGCCGACAGTCTCCCAAATTGCCGAAAAAACATGGGCAAAGCGCGCAGGCTAAGGCCGAACGGCGGGTTTTCTCACTAGCACGCCATCACCACCGTCTGTAACTCAACTCCGAGCCCGCTGGCCAATGGTGCGCGCGCCCCACATGGCCGCCACCGCCCGCGCGGCAGAAAAGTGTCCCGTGCTGTTTCAACCTCCTGCCTGGGCCCGTGGCGCGCGTCGTCCGCCCTTCGCTCGCCAACCTCGACAATGAGCAAGTATGGCACCCTGGTCATGGTATGCCCGCAACGCCCTGTGCTAGCCACGCCCCCCAGACTGACCGCCCCCCTCGCAGGGCCCCGCCGGCGCGGGCAAGTCGACCTTCTGCACCGCCCTCATCCAGCACCTCCAGAACATCAAGCGCCCCTGCTTCTACGTCAACCTCGACCCGGCCGCCGAGGACTTTGCCTTTGAGCCGGACCTCGACATCAAGGACCTCATCAGCCTCGAGGATGTCATGGACGAGATGAGCCTGGGGCCCAACGGCGGCCTCATCTACTGCTTCGAATTCCTCATGGAAAACCTCGACTGGCTCACCGACCCGCTCGAGGAAGTTACCGACGACTACCTGATCGTCTTCGACATGCCCGGCCAGATTGAGCTCTACACCCATGTGCCCATCCTGCCCGGCCTCGTCAAGCACCTCATGTCGGGCTCGCTCAACATGCGCATGTGTGCCGCCTACCTGCTCGAAGCCACCTTTGTCATCGACCGTCCCAAGTTCTTCTCCGGCACCCTGTCTGCCATGAGCGCCATGATGATGCTAGAAATGCCGCACATCAACATACTGAGCAAGATGGATCTGGTCAAGGGGCAGGTGGCCAAGCGCGACCTGAAGCGTTTCATAGACGTCGACGCAGACTTGATCGAAGACGACCCCGCCCGCAAGAAGATGTCGCCTGAAGAAGAGCGAAAATACCGCGATCCAGCGTCCAAGGAGAGTCTCATGAGCGGCTCCTCGTTCCACAAGCTCAACAAAGCCGTCGCCGAGCTGATTGACGGCTTCAGCATGGTTTCCTTCCTCAAGCTCGATGTGCAGGACGAGGACAGTCTCGGCGCGGTACTGAGCTACATTGACGACGCCATACAATTCCACGAGTCACAAGAGCCCAAGGAGCCCAGGGATGTCGAGCCCGAAGCGGACATGTAGGCTCCTTGGCTAGACACATTTGCATGGGCGGCGTTTTGGTTTTGGCGAGGTATGTTCAAATTCAGAGCACAAAATGTCGCCTACGACATGACATTCACGATACCCAATATACGCTCCAGCACACATTACACAATCCACAGTTATGCTGGGCTGCATAAACTCGACTTGTGTCACCAATTGACTTGCACAATGATGTCTCGCCTACGCAACTGCCATGCTTCTCTTCGCCTCGACCATGCGGTGTGTTACATGACACATGCCACACTCTCAGCCGCAACCGAGGCGCCAGCCTCACTAGACTACATTCGTTGCGCCTCTAGCGGCCGGTGACGCAAGCAAGCTAACTTGTGTTCTTGGAAACGCACAGATTGCATCTTGACAAGCGGTGAGAAAGCGGCAGCACATACTCCATATCGCAGGTTAATAGCGTGAAATGGCTGAGATTGATGATTGAAGAGAAGAGCAAACTAAGTTCAACCCTTACAGTGTCAAACAGACCAACCTGTTTCTTCTCGTCAGTTTCTACAAAGAACCACAGAAGAAGCTGTCCTGGTACACCATGGCGCTGCAGTTTGAACCAAAACCGACGAGGTACTTCCTATTCCAGCACTATCAGCGCTATCAGCACTAGTTCTACTAAAACTTTGGTAATAACACATAACTGGCTTGTTTCGACAACCGACACACACACGTAAACTAACTAGCCAAGCGCTGACATGCTCGATTGATTGACCGCCCCTTGTACATGCTCAATATCACACAGCCACCAACGCCACCTGCATGCCTAGAAAAGACGGAATCCTTCTACCTCCTTCCATGCTCATCTCTCTTTTTCTCTTCTTCCATATTACAATACAAGTCAGAACCTTGATTATGATTACGCATGCAGTTCAAGCAGGTATACTCAAACATATCCCCTAGAATGAAAAAAAAAATCCCCGGCATTCAAAAGTGTCACATGGCAGACACATATACATGCACACACATAGAGAGAGAGAGAGAAACCGAGAAAGAGAGAGGGTGGCTAGGAAAGTCGCTAGCTCTCTCTCATTCTCTCTCTCACACACACACAATATGCCTATATGATATTCACCACGTAATACGGTGCAAAAAAAAATTAAAATCACAAAAAAAAAACCCCCCTCACCATGTCCGACAAGCCTGCTAATAAAATCCCAATTCCTCGGAGTTTTACATATATCCATGGAGAAAATATATGTAACACTAAGTACTGCATGAATAACTCCCCGGAATTACCCCCCCCCCCCCACACACACACACACAAAAGGAAAAAAAGAAGAATAATTATAATAATGATAATAATAATAATAGACCGGGCTATGATTATGAGTATGATTATGTTGAGGTGTAATTTTTTTCTTCTTCTTCTTCTTCTTCTTCTTCTTCTTCTTCTTCTTCTTCTTCTTCTTCTTAATGTGGGGATGTGTAGGAAGGAGATTTAAATTTAGATTTAAATTTAGATTTAGATTTAGATGATGATGGTGATGAATGTAGGATAACATGGATAGATAGATAGATAGTCTGCTGTCATGCCAAAATTTGATGTGAGATTACGAGTAAGAAAAGACAGAAAAAGAGCGAGAAAGGGTTTCACGCGAGACGATAAAAACAGACACCAACTCAGTGCTACAAATTTCGAGATTATTGTATTCAAAGCAAACAGTTTATTGCATATGAATCCACTTTTGCAAATTAACGTTACTTACCCATTTTTTTTCTTTTCCCTCATGGTACACAACGAATCGCCTCATGATCGCGCAGAAGAAGAAAAAAAAGAAAAAAAAGAGCAACAATAATAAAACTAACAAAAATCAACCGACTGAACAAATTAACAATGATGCATCATACCACCCCGTCCAGCCATTCAAACAGAAGGACCAAAAAAAAAACCAGAGTGATTTTGTTAGACATCCCCATGACAACTCCCAATACAACAATAACAACAACAACAGCAACAACAACAACACATCTTCTAGGCAGACTAAGAGGACATTCCCACTCAACCCTTGATATCACCCTTCAAACCACCATCATAACCGCCTTTTCCAAGACGGTAGCCAAAACTTACAGCAACCGCACACAAGAGTCCGGCACAAAGCAACGTAGGACCCCATCGGTCGTGATACGTTACGGCTCTCCTCTCTCTGATCTTGTTGACGCGCCAGATATACAGGCCAGCACTATAACACAGTGCCAGGCATGCGATGATGGTGAAAGCCCAGGCAGCCGCAAAGGCAAGGCCGTCACCAAAGTTGAGTAGGGTAGCAGCAATGGAGCCAATGAGGATTGAGAATTCGAGCCAGGAAAGAAACGTGCGCTCAGTCGCTAGCTGGACCTTGGGTTCGACGCGGACAGGAACGTGAATACCTGGTTTGGGGTTAGCATGGTATACTTTGAATACTTTGTCTGGATGACTTACGCTTGCCCTTTGGAGCCTTGAACCGCTTCACTTCGCCCCGCTGTTTCCAGCTTGGTACACCAAGCGTGAAGCCTCCGTCCCCAACATCCGTAGGCGTTGGCTTTGGAATAATCGACACAACTGTGTTGAGTACTGCAGACCCCACGTTGGAGGCTGTTCGCTCAACCCACTTTCGGGCATAGCGAAGGCCTCCCTCTCTTTTGGCGGCTTCAAAGTCGTCCTCCTCGTCATCACTGTCCGAGTCGTAGATGGGGTAGTCCTCGTCGGTAGTGCGCCTGGCGGCGACGCGCTCCTCGATATCAAGTGCATTAGGGTCGTTACCGTTGGTCAGAGTCCCGTAGTCACGGGCTCGCTCCATTTCGTTTTGTTCCATAACATCTCTGGCCTCGCGCAGCCTCCTCAAGCGATCATCATCCTCGCTGCCGTTAGCCGCAGGGAGAGCACCGGCCATGTCATCCTCGCTGTCATCATCATCGTCAAGGTTGCCGCTAGTGCTAATGTCGTTGCTCGCCCCAGGTCGCTCAATACCAAAGTTGTGGGTGACGGGCTTGCGAATATCAACATCCATCTGTGGGTACCAGTACGGAAGCAAGTTGATGCGCTTGGGGTTGAGCGTGGCTGTACCATGGATGTACTTGGAGAACTTGGGTACAGCCTCAACCAGATGGGATGCGGTGAGGTCCCGAATCCACTGCGGTGGCTCGCCTCCTGCTTGTGTCTGTAGTTTGACTTCGAGAACAGCATATGGGAAAAGTTCCTTGTCCTCCTTGGGCAGCTGCTTGAAGGGCCAGTCCACGCCAATGTCAGTGCGACGCCAGTTGTCACCAGAACGGGTCTTGCCGTCCAGGTTGTCCTCGCGGGTCATGGTCAGCTCAGTGTCGAGCGAGATACGAACACGCGCATCTCCGGGGAGTTGGAAGGCAGTTCGGTGGTAGAAGGATCGTGTAACGGGCTCGAGCTTGCGGGTGAGAACACGGTATTGGATTTCTCGTGCCAGCTGCTCGTCCGAGGCAATGTCTTTCTCTGGCCGCTTCTGTTCCCTGCGCTCCTTCTCAAAGATCTGTTCCGGCATAAGCTCGCCACGGAGGTATGCGTTGACATTCTTCTCCTTGAGCTTGAACCGTGCCTTGACAGACTCCTCGCCCGTCCAGTCTTCACGATGTGTCTTGCGCTCGATGAAGATGGTGTCGCTTGACATGCCTCCATACCAGCGCAGTCGGATAGCCTCGGCACCTTCGGTCTTCTTCAGACGGCCCTCGTACAGCTCCCATGTATCCGTGTTGTCAAAGTAGATGGACGTAATGGCAGAGTCTTCCTCGTTGAATTCCTTGTTAGGGTTGAACACGAGCACAGGCAGGTGCTTGAGGATAATGAGCTTCAGCTCCAGGATGTTGTCTGGATGCACCCAGTACTTTGTTGTCTGGCGCACAAAGTTTTGTTGTTTTCCTCCTGCCGAGGCATCGCCCTTGACGGGGTTTCCTCGGGTGCGGACAATGTCGTAAAGTCTCGATAGCTTGACGACGTATGAGTCGTAGTTGTCTTGGAAGAAGGGCTTGCGCTTGAGGCGGGCGGCGAAGACGGGCTTGAGGAACCAACTGGTGTTTTTCTGCATTCAGTCAGCACCGATGTAGCGCGGCGGGATTCCTGTACGCACGTCGTGCTTCTTGATAATCTTCTGGAAGCCCGTGTAGTTCAGCTGGGTGAACTTTGCGAGGTCGTGGACGTCGGCGATGATGTCGCTCAGGTCTTCCTCGAGCAGGTCAAAGTCGTCCTCAAAGTCCTGGCTGTTTCCGGGGCTCTGCTGGGCGCGGGCGACGGCATCGTTGACCTCCTTCTCCGATGCTGCTATGCGACGGATGATCTCCTCGGCCTTGACGCGCTGGAAGGTGTAGACCTTGTCGAGCTCCTTCTCGAGCTGCTCGACGAAACTCTGCTCCGACTTCTCGTCCCAGACGTGCGGGACGCGCAGAGAGTGCTTGAGGCCCTCGTAGTCAATGTAGTAGAAGACCCACTGCTTGTTGAGCGACTGCTTGAGCTGCTGGCCGAACCTGCAAACGCGCATTAGCTACCGTTGACATCATGCGCGCGCTTGTTTGTCGCGATTGGGCGAAGCATCAACAAGGGCCTTGCGGCGGGAGCAACGGAGGACAGGCGGGACAAACCTCATGGTGTGCGATGTGCGGGCAGTCGGATGCCCAGATGGTGGCCGAGGGAAGTGAGGATGTGTTGAAGCTGCAATGCAGGACCCCAGCAAAAGGTCGGGCCTGGCTAGCAGTGAAGCTTCTCCCCGCCTGCATGTGCGTTCCTGAGCCTGAGTGGAGCTCCGGCCTGCTAGCGCCGTCTGAAGGCCGCTGAGATGGGTCTGCCGCTGCAGCCAGCCATTGAGAAGGGCCGAAGCTCCCACGTGTAGATGCAATTCGGTAGCCAGTATGCTCCCATGCTGAAAAAAAAGAGAGAAAAGCTTTCTGTTTGCATCTACGGCCCTTGAATAGACGTCATTTGCTGCCGTGTGCGCATGGCTTTTCCATTGGCCAATGCCGAGGCTAGTGGCGCTGGAACTCCCATGCCCGGCACATTTACCGTGCCAGCACCAGTGCAGCAAAAAGCCGTGTTTGCGTCTTGTTGACATGGCGTGCAGATATACGGCCTGGTTTCTTTCTATACCAACAGACCTATTGCGGACATCGGGCTGACATGGGCAAGGCTTCTTGCCTGCCATCCCATGCGTTCAAGCCATGTCGCAATCTCAGCATACCAGGGGCCCACGGCCAAAACAATATCTATTTCCACCCGCCCTCTGGCCATGTTCACGTCGTAGTTTCATATGCTGACAAGCCTTTGTTTTGTTGTAGTGGTCCCATACAAGGGTAGTAAGCAACCGTGCTCAGCCGACTCTGTTGCAGTCAAACGCGAAGTAACAGTAACAAAAAATTGCATTCATCAGGACCTAGTAGGAGGAGAGCTGTGGCTCACGAGACTTCTATTCAGAGAGCAGTTTCTCACATCCTGCGTAGGACGGACCCATAGGATATCCAGCCGAGCATAACCATAATACCATAACACCATAACTCCATCCAGCGCGTGCTTCAAGGCCGTGCTCGGTGGGTATCGCAGAGAAAACATGAGCAAAGGAAACGTATTAGGGTAAAGAGTGTGTGAGAGGAGGGCCCGGTTTTCTACGTTTCCTGATTGTGGAGTGTCTCGTTAGGAAATGTTGCCGCCGGGCTGACGTGCTGGCTAGATTCGGGGCTGTTGTTCTTGCTTGCCTCAGGCGAAGGCGTATGCGACCGTGAGACAATATACAGATCGTCGTAGCTGCCCAATATCATACGCTTCCATCTTGCGAGCGTCGGCAACCCTACGTTGGCAACCGATGCCTTGAGCGTGGGCTTTTCGGCGTACTTTTCGCGCTCAGAAGGCGCCAGGAGGTCTTCGTTGAGGATGTCGAGCCGACTGTTGCCACGCGGAATAGGCTTCCTCGTGACGCGAAGAAAGGGCAACGAAGGGTCTGGGTACGAGTCAGACCTGGCCACTTCGACCAGACAGAGAACAGGCACACTCACCATTGTCGAGCTCGGTACAGAGATCGCGTTGTGTTTTGACCTCGAGGCCTTTTGCACCAGAACGGAACTTGTAGACGAGGATGGGCTTGCTACTTTTCTCGTCCAGGTCGAATAGACTGCTCGCTTTGCTGGACTCGCTGCCCGAGGTCGATATCGACTTGAACGTCATGCTTTCTTCCAACATGCGTGCGGTGACTCAAAGAGAAGGCTGGGGCTGAAGATGTCTTAGGCGGGAATGAGGCGGGTCCTGGCGGTGGATTGCAAAGGTGAGGGACCAGAGTTGCCTATGTCGTTGTTTGGGTGAAGAAGGTTTGGGTGTTGGCGCTGAACAAACTGGTCGAGTATGTTTTGTATAGCCGCGGGCGTTGGCGGGTCGTGTGAGTCCAAGGGGAATGTGGAGTGATGGTCTGGGTCGTGGCAGGCCATGGAGCCTTCCAGCCAGCGCTGGCTGGCGTTGGGCGCTGTCACGCCTGGGGTGTGGCTGGCTGCGCCCCCCTGGCGTGGCTGAGGTGGCATGATGTAACTTGGGTCGGCCGATCGACACACTGATTGGCCCGCGGCTCGGCTGTGCTCTGACCAGCGCTGATTGGCTGATGGTGACGTCCACATGTTCATGTATGCTCCGCACTGCAGCTGTGTATGTACAGGCAGCATAATTTATTACCCGAGGCATATCAGAATGCTGGGCTGGTTTCTGAAGATGCTGGTTAAGGTCCAGTAATGGTTCAGATGTCAAGGGTTAGGCAGAGAGGACCAGTCTTGTCCTTTGCATGACCAAAAGTTGGGAGATTCATGACGACCATGGATGCAGTGGCCGAGACGGGTTTGATTTTTGCCTGCATGCAGCTGAGTCTCAGGAAACAGTCAGGCAATCAGGCAAATTTGCGCTCATGCGAGGGGATCAGCCCAGGCTTAGTTGGCGGGGGTGCAGAGCATGCGTCACGTGCAGTTGGATCGATCTCCAAATGCCTGTGCCTAGGGCCAGTTCACAGACTGCAGACCTCCCAAGGTCATACGTGTGGAGATCACTTCTCGATATATATTAGAGCGATCAGAACGATGAGAGTGGTGGCACAAATGCATGCGGGGAAGCGCCAACCGCGGTATGCTAACGTGCAAGACTACGCTGCGGAACGAGGCCGGACGGCATCGCACGGTTGCTTCACGGACGGGCACGGAATGACGCCTCCTTGTGACGCGCATGATGCGTGGGCGTTAATGTCGGGCTGCTTGGAGTGAGAGCAGAGAGCTGCCGACCAAGTCACCTGGTTGGCGTTCTGATATAGGTGCGTTCAGGTGATGCGAAGATTGTTACATCGCCTTGGGCCGTGGCAGTCGCCGTGCTCGGGCACATAGGTTGAGAAAAGGGGTTTTTGGGCGATGCTAGACAGAACCAAGGGGGTGGGCGAAGGTGTAGAGGATGACAATTTGCGTTGCCTGGTGCCCTAGTCTCAGAGTGCACATGTCAGTGTGAACACTGGCAGCCAATCAGCGCCGGGCAGGACCCGGCAGGACTATGAGCTAACTAGCGCGGTAATCGGTGGAGGCAATGCATTACATACACACTCAAAGTACGCCTGCATATACATAAGTATGGATGCAAAGGATAGGCTGACCATAATTCTCCGCGCCAACCCCATGGCATGTGGACCAGACTCGATGGGTCACCGCCAGTGAACAGCAGCGCACTGGCCAGGGCTACCAGCGCAAGGCTGCGGCTCTGCAGCTGCATAACGTGTGCAAACCATTTTTTGTCCCACTGCCGTCGCTGGAACGGCGGGCCTTCTGCCTGCCTGCTACCCGTGTTCCAAGTCTCGTCAACACGGCGTGGTTGTGTAGTGTAGCTTTGCAAGACGGCAGCACCAGCGGCGGCGGGCGGCGGGCGGCGGGCGGCGGGCTAACGCGAACAGGCTAGCGGCGGTCGGCTGAGAGTGAAGGTGGAGCGGGTCAGAGCCAGCGCGTGGAGAAACAAGCCGAAGCAGAACGACGGCTTCGCACTGCAAAAAGGCTTAGCCCAGGGCTCTGCTGCGGCCCGGCGGCCTGATTCGTCGCATCCCCCAGGCTGCCTTGGCTAGTGCCACCATCAGCCACATCCGCCGCCCACCCTTTGCATCTGCACCCCCTGTCCGCGCGCCCTTAGCAGCAACGCGCGCGAGACTGTCATGAGGCTGCTCAAGAGCCTTATATCCACTCCACGCCATCTGTCTGCACCCCCCCCCTTTCGCGCACCTGCCCTAATCATCGCAGCGTAAAATCACGCAAGCCTAACCTAGCACCTTTGGACCACGGCAGTAAATACCTGCCCCGCGCGCCGCCAACATGTTGCAGCCGCCTCGAGATCCAGCCTCGCGGCCGCTGAGTATAAGGACAATGGGCACCAGTGCGACGCAAGAGGATAAGACGGGCGAGACATGGAAGCTGAACGTTACCGCCGAGAATTGCTGGGAGGACCTCATCCTCACCCTGGGTACGTCGACCTGCTCTGGCTGCAGATATAGGATCCGTTCTGACGTTTCTGCATAGACGGCGGAGGCATTCGCGGCTACTCGAGTCTCCTCATTATACAGCAGCTGATGCACGAAGTTGCCGAATGCGAACGCCGATTACAAGAGGAAGAGGGCCCAGTGCCTGGGAGCGAACGGCGCGAGTTCAACGAGAACGAGCTGCTCCCGTGCCATTACTTTGACTACATGTATGGCACAAGTACAGGCGGTCTCATATCTGTGATGCTGGCTAGGCTTCGCATGACGGTGCCCCAGTGTCTGGAGATTTATCGCAAAGTCGGACATGAGCTGTTTGGCCATAGGCGCAACGTGCTGCCACTAGCTACCAAATATGATCACAAACCGCTTGAAAAGGCGGTACAAGACATTGTCAGACAGTACTGCAAGGAGCATGACAAGTGTACAGGCGACGACTGGTACCCCTGGCGCTGGGAAGACCAAGAACAGGTGCCCATGGACGCATCGGCCGTCAACTCTGTGCAAAGTGCAACTACATGGGGCAGTGGTGCTCCAGCCACCAATGTCAAGCCAATCGAGCACATTTGTCAATCGTGAGTCTTCTTCCAATTAATCCTTTGGTGAGCCTAGCTACGTCTGAATTTGGAGATTTATTCTTCAACTTTGTGGTTAGAGCCACCTACATTTAGTGTAGAGAGAAGAAAGAAAATGCTGCGACATATGCTGACAAAAGCTAGAATCTGTCTAACAGCTATTCATTCCGGCCAAATCGACGAAGCATATCTCCTTCGATCCTACAACCACCAATATGATCCCGACATTGCCCCGCCATGGGTTACGCCCTACAACACTGGCGCTGACAAGCTCAAGATCTGGCAAGTGACGAGGGCGACATCCGCTGCTCCATTCTACTTTGAAATGCTCACCGCCGACTTTGGTAATGGATTGAAAAAGAATTTCAAAGACGGTGGTATTCGCGAGAACAACCCTTCCTATGCAGCCTACAGCGAACATGCTTCACTCAAAGGGGACGATAGGGAACCAGGTCTCTTACTCTCGATTGGGACTGGACGTCCGGACACTACTCATGACGGCTTCGCTACTGCCTGGCCAGGACCACTGGGTAAGGTCAAGGCGCTGCAAAAGTGGAGTGAAAAGTTGGCAGTATTCAAGAACCTCCTGATCAAGTACACCGAGGGCGAAGATCGACACAAGATGATGCGCACAATAGCCAAGGGAGAACACCGATGGTACAAGCGTCTCAACGTCGACAAGGGACTTGAAGGCTTACCACTTGATCATTGGGTAAAGGGGCTGTGGACCAATCCTCTGACCAACGAAAATAAGGAGGTGAATGGAGGCAAGACTCTGTCAATAATGGAGGCAGTGACGAGGGCATATCTCCAAAGGGAAACCATTGCAAGTCCCGGCAACCTCACGGAATACCAGCCTCCCAAGATTGTCCTGAAGCAAGTGGCAGAGAGACTAGTACGGCACAGAAGATTAAGAGAGGCTACCAAAGCGGAAGACATGAAGAGGTGGCAGACACACATGGGCCAATGGCTAACGGGCCAGATGAAGCCTGAGGATGCGAAGAAGGAGCCAACTCCGCTACAGTCAAGAAAGGGATCTCGAGCTTTTCTTTCCGGATCACGTCCAATGACGCCTAATGGGAAATGAACAAGAGTGCCTGTGAGACCGGCATCGGGCCCGCTACCCACATGATTGCTAAACAACATATGACGACACGCTTTGCTGCAAGAATAGTCAGTTCATATCCACTATTCTTGGCTGTTTCATGCACCTGAGTACATGAGGTCATCAATCAGCACTATACGCAACACTATAGGCTGTTTCCTGTCCCAACTCCATGTCTCCAGGCATCGTCTTCAAGCCTCCACGGACCTACCAGAAACACCACCACCCCACCGCCAGATCGGTACTGTCAAAGATGGACTTGGCAAGCTCTTCGCCTCCAACCAGCCATCTCCTTTACGATTACATAGCTCTCCGCCTCCGAGACAAGTCCATGTCACAAAACAGGAGTTTTGATGTTTTTTTCTCTCTCTCGAGGCTCGCTTCCTTCCACCCCATCCGCCATGTACAATAATGCCTGAATACCCGTCACGTTTCAAGACGCCGCCATGTATATTTTTTTTGTCGTTTTGATTTTCAAATGTACTATACCACGCCCCGTAGCCCCGCTATTACTATTTTATTACTTCAATACCAAATAAAGTAGATGCCTCCAACCCAGATAGATGATATCAAACAACGCGAATTTTTCCATACACACACACACACACACATTTGTCTACTCACAATCTGCTAGTTCATGCACACCACACGACACTATGCTATCCATGCATCAAACCGACGCGAATCTTGGTATTTTTGTTGATTTTTTTTCTTTCTGCACAGTAACTACCACTAATATCAAACATCCCCCGCCCCCTCCTTCAAGCCATCGCATCTACGCCCCCAAACCCCCTCGGAAAAAAAAATAAAATAAAAACATACTAGGAAAATGGCTGATACTCGGCTCCTTGAACGCGCCCACCCTACAGTGCCCGTGCACCAGATGAGCACCATCGCCAGTTGAGCACCCCCAACAACTCAATATAGTCAACAAGATGAGGCTGTAGAGCCACCACAAATCGTAATAAAATTGCGCAAAGCTAGGATTATACTATATACAGGCCTACAAAAGTTTTGGCTTATTCAGAAATTTTTTTGGAGGGCGTTATCGGTCGTTGCCGTCGACTACGCGGTGGAGCAGCTCGTGCAACCCTTGCGGCTCCCACCACAGCTGGAGCAACACCACCACACTTTTGACGCTTTGTAGCTGGCTTATGAGGTTTTGACGCTTTGCGCTTACCCGATTTGGGGGCAATTGTATAGCTTTGGCAGCGTCGCGGAGGCTTCTACGATGCTCTCTTTCGGCTTTCTCTGCAGCCTTCCGCTTTCTGGTCT